ACCCACTTGATCTGCTGTGGGATGGACTCCAAAGATGGCAGACCTAAGGGCAAAAACATCCATCTTAGTACGACACAAGGTCAAACAGCTCTCAAAGTCAGAGGACAGCACTGGTCCCCACAGTAGATCTTGGAGTGCCGTACAATTGCTAGACCTCCCGACAAATAAAATATATTTTCTTTTTGTTCCCAAATGCCCTCGAAGCACTTTTTTCATATATTTAGCCCTCTGAACCATTTTGAAACCACATGGCTTTTTTTAACCACAGAAAGTATCCAGGATATCAACATCCAGTTTACTTCCTATTACAAAATAGACCTCCTCTGGGCCAAAGATGCTCAAAATATGGTGAAATTGTGCCCATACTCCCACGGTATTATTTTGTTTTTAATCATGAACCACACAATCACTTAACTTCTTTTTTGTGAGCTGATATATCTCCTGAGCTAGAGTTTACATGGACCAATTTATGTGCTTCCATAAACACAGAAGAAGAATTTACAGTGGGTGGCATGTGCTGTTTCTTCTAGTCATGTGCCTAGTCATGGAATTGGTCCTAAAGAGGAGAAGGGGAGAGAAGTAGACAGAAGATCATGCAGTACTTTGGGAAAATCATCAAAGGCAATGGGTACAAGTTATATAAAGCTGCAAGGACAATCCCACAGGAATGTCTTTTAAATTCCTAGAAGAGAATGTGCCAGAAAGCTCATTAGGGAAGGGGAACAGCTATGTTTAAAATTGATGCATGAAAGGAATAAGAGAGTAAGCTGATTAACAAAGCAAGCACTTCTTGCTGGGAGCCAGCTGCTGCTCTGCACCACCAGTCAGCCCATGTTCCCCCAGCCCAGAGCATATAAAGAAGGAGCACTTGCATATGAGAAGGTGGAAGAAAAGCACAAGCAGAAGGGAATAAGTGATACCAGCTCTCCAGCATCCCTAACCTCAGGCTTGCTTCTCATCCCTTTCTGTTTATGAGCCCTATCGTCAAATATGCTGAACTGTGTACAAATGGCAAAAGGGCCAATGCATACTTTCCTCTGAGTTCACAGTGTCCCAGCGACTGTTCCTTCCAATGCTAGCTGAGTCCAGAAAATGATTCACCTCTGGCAATGGAGTGCTCTGTGTGTACAAAATGGATGTCCCTCAGTGCAACAGTCTGCTGTGTAGATAACAGCTGCAGTCATTACTACAGTTTTTTGCCTTCTAAATAGCACTCTGCTCTTACCTGAAAGAAATGGTACCTAAAAATATGTAATCTCCTCGGGACTTGCTCCAAGAATTATAATTCCAGACATGGAATAAATATTCATTGGCATCAAGGAGCAAAAAGAAAAGGTTTGCAAAGCAGCCACTTTAAGTCCTTTGCAAGCAATGCACTTAATGCTTTGTGATAAATGAAATTTGAGCCAGTAATATAGGGTAAAATCTTGCACTAGCCAAATTTTAGTGATATTTGAGAAACACGGAGTGAAAGAACCAATCTATGCAGAGAAAGTAAATGTATTCTTGGACATGAATATTTCAATCAAAACTATATTTAGGCTGCATGACGTCCATTATTTTCACCAAGTGTTTTGGTATTGTAGTCTCTGTGTTTGTATTTTTGAAGGGGAAACAGAAAAAAAGGATAGAGAAGGAACCTCTACAATTAATGATAAATCAATCCTATTGGAATAATGCCAGATCTCAAGCTCTCTCATGTTACACACATTATAGCACTTCAACACTGCTATAACTCCCACAATTCCATCTCATAGAATTCTTATATCTATAGTTTTGTGAGGCATTGGAGCTTTTTGGCACAGAATTCTAAATGACCTAGGTTTCAGCAGGTGAAATTGTGGCAATTACAGTGGCAACAATATTATAACTGTTTCATGAGAAAGAGACCATATTGAGAACTGGGGAGGGGGTCAGAACTTATTTTATTACCACTTACTTAGTATAACAAGTAGAGGTCATACAATCCTATAGTAGGAAGAAGCCAACAAGACACTCTAGTCCAACTCCCACCCATACAGGAATACACAACAAAACAGAAAGAGACCCATCTAAGTTCTGTTTAAAGATCTTCAAAGATGAAGTTTGGCAACCTACAAAGCAATCCATTTGGCTGTTGAACAGTACAAAAATCATCAGGCGACATCTTTTTTGTACATTCAGTGCATTGGTTTATGTTCTGGTCTCTGGAGCAGCAAAAAAAAAAAAGCTTGCTTCGTCACTTTGGATATTTAAAGATAGCTGTCGTTTCACTTCTCATTCTTCTTTTCTAGCTCTCTAAGTAATTCTTTGTAAGTCTTAGTTTCCAGATTTTTAATCATTCTGGTCTTCCTCAATGAGTTCTAACCAATTCATTCACTTTACTTTTCCTCTGGTTGGGATCATGGATAGTGAAGCAAGGGGAACTTTGATCAGTTTATCCTAATTACATTTTGATCCTCTGAAATGTATAAATTTGGGTCAATTGAAAAAGTCCTGGAACACAGGTTCTTACATTTCTTATTTATTTTGTCTTGTTTGCATTTTAATTCTTTCATCCTTCTTATTTCCAGAAAAGGATAGCTTTTGGCTACATATTTCAGAGGATTAGAAACTCCAGCTTCCTCAGTTAGATCAACCATGTATTGGGAACTGGAGCAGATGTAAATTCAGATAGAACACAGAAGTCTGATGGCCAATAGTTCAAGCAGCAGGGAGCACCTTATCCCACAACAGTAGCTTCCCTGATTCTCAGATAATGAGCCATCAATGGTTTCTTCTGGCTTTAGAGAAGTCTCCTTTTGGTGAAATTATATGTTGTAGAGTCAGCCCTCCATATCCTTGGCTTGAAAAAAAATCCAAAAATCAAACTTGAATTGGCCATTTTATATAAGGGGAATCATTTTATTGCACTATTGTATATAAGGGAGGGTTGTACATTCACAAATTTTGGAATCACTGAGAGTCCTAGAGCCAAATAGCGGAAGAAACCAAGGATTCACTGTATATCATAAGATCAGAAAGCAGCTGGAATAGAGTAATTTTTAGTGACAAGTGGCAGAAAGGAAAGAACTAAGAAGTTACACCTGTTATTTTTGCTTTTAAAATGACCTTCCAGAAGAAGCTCAAACCCAGGTTATGGGATCAAGGGTTTGCAGAATAGATGGTTTTAAGGAACTTTTTCACCTGATGGATTGATTTGGAAGATGACATGAAATGGCGAACTGTTTTAATGTTTTCCAGACCTTAATCCAATTCTTCCTTATTCCTCCTGCATTTTAAGATGATTTAACCTAGGTTATAATGCATGTGTAGAGGGGCCCTGAGCAATGCTAGGCTGATGCTCTAGGATCAGCGCATCTTCATTGTACCACTCCAGCTTGTGATATTCATTATTTTTAAAGATAACTTTCCATGTTCTGACTCAATTTCCATTAGAAGTTATTATTCAGCACAATTTGGATATGACATTACTGTGGACTACAATTCCAAGAACACCAAATCCACATGGTTTGTGGCCATGGTTGCTGGAGGGTCCTGGAAGATGCAGTCTCCAATGTAATGTTTCCAAGCTCCATATTTAGTGCCATATTGCATTGCAATAGTGGGCAGAAAGTAGAATGGAATTAGGATACCAACAAGAATTTTGTACTACCATTATTATTATTTTTTTACAAAAAATGTCAATTAGATCCAGGTCCCTTCCACATGGCTGTATAAAATCCACACTGAACTGGATTGCATAGCAGTGTGGGCTCAGATAAACCAGTTCACAAAGCAGATATTGTGGGTTACCTGCCTTGATATTCCGGTTCCCCAGCAGAGTATAGTGGTTTCAGTGCTGAACTAAATCTTGAAATCAAAGTTTGAATGCCTGATGAGGCATGGAAATCCACTAGGTAACCTTAGGCTAGTCACATTTTCTCAGAAGGCAGCAAAGGCAAAACTACTCTGAACAAATCTTGCCAAGAAACCCCTGTGATAAGTTCCTCATAAGTTATAAAATGACTTGAAGGCACACAACAGTAATAGGTTGCTTATAGAAATGAAGGTAACTAGGAGTAGATTCTTGTATGAAACTACTTGGAAGGCCAACTTCTTGTATGATTAGTACTTGAATGGACGACTGCCAATGAATACCAGGTGCTGTAGACAGTATTTCATAGGGAGACACTGGCAAAAGCACCCTGAGTATTCCTTGCTTAATAAAACCCTTTGAATCATAGAGTTGGAAGAAACCTCGTGGGCCATCCAGTCCAAACCCTTGCCAAGAAGCAGGAAAATCGGATTCAAAGCACCCCTGACAGATGGCCATCCAGCCTCTGCTTAAAAGCTTCCAAAGAAGGAGTCTCCACCACACTCTGGGGCAGAGAGTTCCACTGCTGAACTGCTCTCACAGTCAGGAAGTTCTTGCTAATGTTCAGGTGGAATCTCCTTTTAAAATTCATGGGATAGCCATAAATCAACATGCAACTTGAAGGCACATATACATAGACTTTCACATATGCCTCTAGATTTTGGGGTACCAGTCAAAAAACCCCAATGTAGGTCTGACAAAGTAGAACTGATCTACCCTTGCCCTGGGCTATTGTGCCTTTTGTGTCCAAGCCTTATCAATCACTAAGCCAGCTCCCAGAGCACCCTTTGACCCTTTAAGCTGACAACATCCCCTGAAGTGGAAGGAGGTGATTTTAGCAGTCAAGCAGACAATTCACTTGAATGTTAAAATCCTGGCATTTGTCAATTTGAATAATTGCAACCAAGAGAGATCAAAAGAGTAAAATAACTGTCTTTTAAAAAGATTATGGCATGTATACACTACTGCTATTCACTGCAAAACACAAGAAACCCACATTTCCTTCCTGGTACTTGAAAAAACTGACACACATGGGTGTGCAGCAAAGTTAGGAGAAGACATCATACTTAAAGGGGGTTAATGTTCCCAGAGGTGTTTTTAAAGTGTACTTTGTTTAACAACACTGGTGGGGAGCTGTCTTGCCCCAGCAGAAGGAAACATTATTCTGCATGATTCTTTCATCAGGCAGGCAGGCAGGACATGTGTGTGGATTAAACTCTGAAGAGTTTGGCTGCCAGAGAAAGACGTTATTGTTGTGACTTTCTCCTCCTTCCCTTGCTCCCACCCACCCTCTCTGAGAGAATCTCTGCTGAACAGAACCAGAGCAAAGGAGCAGGGCTTGGAGGTGGCTCATTTGTTTCAGAACTGGACTGGAGTAAGGAGGAGAAGGAGGAGAAAGAAGAAGACATATTCAAGGAAGAAGGGGAGGAAGAGCCCTGGAAGTTAAAGTTCAGGCAGGGAGGAGGAGAAGGAAGGGCAGGTAGCAACAGGTAAGCTCTGGAGATGTCACCTATTTGAGGATGGTCTCACTAGTTGAATGAACGGTGACTTAAAGTAGTCAGCTTTTCCTTAACCAGTGGTCAGACGGGACTTTTCACACTCTACCTTTCCTCCTGTCATTCAGCGGGTATTTTGAAATTAGGTTTTCAAAGGTTGTTTTCATTTCACTTGGTTGCACGAGTTATGCTTAGCAACAAAAGGATGGAAAATTGCATGTGACGGTAGTGGTTAAGGTGCTGAAATTGTTTCCAGAGCAGATGCATTTAGGAAAACCCCTTCCTCACATGTGTTGCACACACCCACATTCATCTCTCATACACATGCAGTCTACACACGGAAAAGAAAGGTGAGCATTTTGGACTTCTTTAGCCTGAGTAATATTGTTTCATTATAGGGCAGTCTGAATTTTGGCAGGGTGGGGGAATGGAAAGATTCCAAGGATATGAGTTTATAATTAAGACAATCTGTTTATTCTGCTTGCCGAGTATGTAATGCATTTGGTTGTTGATTTCATGTCAGTTTTATAAAGTGTTCCAAGGTTGTAAAATGGGGTAAAAAGTTTCAAAGTTGCTGAATAATTGATGATGAAGATTCAGCTACATCTGAGAAGATCTTGTGATGTTTATTTCCTCTCAGTGGGAAGTGATTCAAATTCTTTTCATTTCTGGGAGGTGAGAGATTTAAAGATACAACAAAGAAATGCCTTTGTGTGTCTACTACCTAAACTGCCTGATTTTCCAGAAGTAAAAAATCAATTATCCATATATTACAAAGCTACAATTTCAGTATCCAAATGTTTTATATACCTAATGGGTGTTTCAGTTCTGTACACATTTCCTAAGCATGTCTCACTGAACTCAGCAAGGCTTACATTATGCATAAAGTCTCACTGCTGCACACCAATATCAACATATTTATTTTTTTGAAACAGATCTTATTGATTTCAATCCATTTTTATTCCTAAGAGTATGGATATGTAAACATGCCCTTAAACCTTTTCCTGTTTGCTACATTGGCTTTGCCCTAAACTACATTTCCCAGAATTTTGCAGGAGGCAGAAATATGGGGCTATCCATTTTAAAGCTCTGGTGTGATAACGCGTGAGCTCCTCCAGATGTGTTGGCTTACTACTTCTATTTTTCTTAGTGACTGGGAATGATGGGTGTCATAGTCCAGCATATCAACAGGCATATCAAGTTGGGGAAACCTAATGTAGGCAGCATTACCTTTTTTGGCCAAGCTGGAAAGGAGGTTCCAGGTCATAGTACAGCCTGTGCTGGATGGGGTTACACTCCCTCTGAAGGCACAGGTTCACAGCTTGGATGTGAGCCTGAAACCCCAAGTCTTGGCAGTGGCTAGGGGAGCTTTTGTACAACTAAAACTTGTGTGTCAGTTGCATCCGTACCTTGGGAAGTCTGACTTGGCCATAGTGGTCCATACTCTTGTTACATCCCATATAGATTACTACAATCACTCTATGTGGGGTTGCCTTTGAAGACTGTTTGGAAGCTCCAAATAGTCCAATGGGCGGCAGCCTGATTGCTCACTGGAACATTGTTCAGGGAGCAAACCACCCCCCAGTTACATCAGCTCCACTGGCTTCCAGTCTGCTAACAAGCACAATTGAAAGTGCTGGTTTTAATCTATAAAGCCCTAAATGGTTCCAGCCCAGCCTACCCAACCAAACATATCTCCTCCTATGAACCATCACAGAGATTAAGGGAGGCCCTGGTCTCAGTCCCATCACCCTCGCAAGTGTGACTGGTGGGGACGAGTGACAGGGCCTTCTCAATGGTGGCCCCTCTAATTAAATCAGAACAGCCCCCTCCATCCTGTCTTTCAGGAAAAGCTTAAGACATGGACATGGGACCAAGCTTTTGAGCAGTAACTATAGCAAGGCAATACTTGAGAACTCTTAATGCGAAAGACTAATGGACTGATTCTGGACTACAATTTTGAACTTGGTGGTTCTAATTGCTATTTTAACAATTTATGTTTTATTGCTGGTCTTAATTATAGTTGTTATTTTTGGAATTTGTTGTTTGTTGGGCATCAAATTGCTGCTGGTTGTGAGGCCCCTAAGTCCCCTTTGGGGTGAAAAGGGTGGGGTACAAATATGGGGAATAAAATAAATAAATAACAAAAAAAATTCTCAGCTCAGATTTTAGGAAACCTATTTCAGCATTGCAAAAACCTGAAATATAAGTTGCTTGAAACTTCATAGGCTTAGGCAATTATATTGGGGAATGGAGGAGGATGGCGGAAGATATCTAATTGGCCTTTGCCACTGAATTGTGTGTGAGAAGATGCCTCATGGGTTATTTGTATTGTATTTGCCTAGGATGTGTCCTGTATCCCAGGTTATGTCTATAACAACTCTGGCTCAATAAAAGAGAAACTTCCCACCTAGAAATACATGTAGTGCTGTGCCTGGAGAAAGTGCAGGTGTCTTTGTTTTGAATTGTCGCTTCTTTTCATTTTATACTGTGAAACTGAATGGGAAAAATACAAATGACAGGTTTTTCACCATAATGATACACCCTGTCTGCAAATCGTACATGCACAAAATGAATGCATGATGTTTGCATTTTTGTGCTGCTCTTGCTAGGGCATATGGTAGAGTGCAGTGAGCCTGAAGTAATGAAAAAGAGCACAAGTGATAAGGATACTGAAAATTAGCAATCCCTCTGTGTGCAAATATTATTTAGCAAGTTTATTCCAGATACTTTCTTCAAAGAACATATCCCATCAGTACAACTGAAAAGTCAGTGGCAGTCAAACCTTGCTCCTTCATGCACACCCATACAATTTGGATCAATGAATGATGTGATGACTCTAGCCAAGAACAAGCAATATTCTCCTTCTTGGCTTTTCACTTCTTCCAGGGCCCATGGGAGAAGGTAGTTTTCAGCAGTACTTTTCCACTGTTCAGTATATTTTCTACTAAGGATAAAATTCTCCCTGTTGCCATTGATTCCTATGCAAACTCTATTAATGCTACCAGAAATTGGAAGAATGATAAGGTAGTAATTCTTCTGACAGGAGGCAGAAGAAAACCACTCACTCAAATATGCAACATTTTTCAGCTAGAGATTGTACATGCTAGCAAACACATGGGAGTTTCAGTATTTACTTTGGCTTCATCACATGTTTGCTTTGTGGTTGTTGATGACTCTCTCTCTCATACACACACATACATAGTCTCTCTCTCACTCTCTTGAATTTGAATGTTTTTGTCATAGACTGGAGAATTATGACTCATATAAACAATGGAAAGCAAAAGATGTATGAAAGCAGAGAGATAAACAATGAAAGCCTAAATATTATGGGAAGAATCTCAAATCTGTGCTGCATAAATGAGGAACTCCAGTCCTTAGACATTAGGAGCACTAGCCAAATTGTAGTCCAGAGCCTGGAAATGTTATCCTTGTTGGACAAATCCCAGATGCCTATGGTCTTTGGTAATGTTGACTGGAGAAAGCTGGGAGATGTATTGCAAAAAGGGAAGCTTTTCCAATCTCTATATAACCAACAATGTTATCTCTATGTTTTAGTATGCCCTGAGGTCACAGTTAAAGGAGTGAATGGATGCTGGATATAGGAAATATTTTAAATCAATGGCAGAACACATGCTTTGGTCAGAAGGTTTTGGGTTCATTTTCCAGCATCTCCAGATATGAATGAAGCTCAAGAGATCTACAGCCAGCAAGAGGAAAGTTTATTATTCTATATAGCTGATAGTTTCCTTCAGTATAAGGCACTGGGGACACATATGATGTTGTGGTCATGTGCTGGCCTGGGACTTGCTAAATTCATGTTTGAATCCCATCAAGCCAATAAATCCAGTAAGAGATATGTATTTGTAGTCACTCAGGCAGCTTCACAGATGATTAAGCATTCAAACCAAGATTTCTCTCATTTTAATCCAACACATTACCCACTGCACCAACACTGTTTAATTCAAACACATTGTGTGCAAGTAAATCCCAGTAGAATGAATGGACAAATTGGATATAGATGCAAGGAATTAATCATTCAAGAACATGACTTGCAGTAGGAGAACTGCAGCTTTCCCACTGGAGTGTTGTTTTCTTATTCTCCCTTTTGGTCACTCTTTTTACATTTTTTCTTCATATATTACACTGACTTTCTAATAAAAAAATAGTATGCTATATACCATCCCTATTCTGAATTCAAAATGTTGGACCTAGCTGCTACCAAGAGCATCTAAACATGATTATAGCCCCTCAGGCAAAGCAGTGCTCTAGGCGCTGCCTATTCAGCCACTCACAGGGAATGTAGATGATCGATAAAATAAAATAATATTTATTGCACCTCCAACAAAATCAGTGTTTTGGCATTCTAAAAAAAGCTGTATAGCAAAGATTAACCTTTGAACAATATAATATGAGACAGGAAAGAAAATAATGTTTTCTAGTTCACCTTCTCTTCTCTTCTCTTCTCTTCTCTTCTCTTCTCTTCTCTTCTCTTCTCTTCTCTTCTCTTCTCTTCTCTTCTCTTCTCTTCTCTTCTCTTCTCTTCTCTCTCTCTCTCTCTCTCCTCTCTTTTTTCTTTAGGGATCTGTCAGTGCTTCTGTCAAAGACAGCAAAAGTAGACATGTAAAACATGTTAATTCCTATACAGCTGTCTATCCCCACATGATCATGGGGAAGTCTCTTCCTATTAGATGAAGGCAAAACCATTGTCTCGGTCTCATCAATAGTGCTGGATTGAATAATGTCCTCTATCCCTCTGCAAGAGAAACATGCTTTTCCAACTGAAAGCATATCTGCGTACAAAAACATTGCTTTTAAGGCTTTGTGGTGCTTTCCCTCCCATCTAATGTTTTGAGTGTGCCAGGCAGATTGTTATATATTTTTTGCTTTCTTTTATATTGTGATGAGTTGGGTTCATCCTACACTTATTCATTTTATAGACATTCTAGATTTTTCTTTGTTTTGGCTGGCCATGTTGCAGTGCCTTCCTTCCC